GTGTGTGTGTGTGTGTGTGTGTGTGTGTGTGTGTGTGTGTGTGTGTGTGGTGGTGTTTTGAGACAGGGTTTCTCTGTTGAGCATTGGCTGGCCTGGCTGACCTTGCTGGCCTAGAACTCACAGAGATCCACCTTCCTCTGTCTCCCTGAGTGCTGGAATTACTGGTGTGTGCCACCATGCCTGGCTTGGTTTTGTTTTCTGAGGCGTGGTTTCCTGTAGCCCAAGTTTGCCTCCAGCTCACTTTGTAGCTGGGGATAATAATTAACCTCTTGACCTCCAGGCTCCACCTCCCAAGTGCTAGGATTACAAGCATGCACCACAGTATCCATCTTGTTTTGACAGGGTCTCACTCTGTCAATCCTTCTGCCTCAGCCTCCCAGATGTTAGGATTACAAATGTGAATCACCAGGACCACGGGCCAAGGATTTTGTTGCCCTTCACTCTGGCTCTCCAGACAGACATCCAGTAAATCTGTGGAAGTGTTTTTGTTACACTTGCAAGCTGGGTGATGCTACTGACATCTAGTGGCAATAAGGAGAAATGCTGCGAATCGCCGCATGGGCAGGGTGGTTCCGGCAAACATTCAGAGTTCCTAAATACTCAGTGGGTCCAAGCAGCATACAAGGCAGTCTTCAAAACATGCAGGGTGGTCCCCATAACGAAGAAATAGGATGACAGTACAAGAGCTTGGACCTTTACTTAAACAATATTCACTGATACTAAATTGAGCAGGATAGGGAGAATCTGTTATTAAAGACCTTTTCAGGGGCTAGAGAGATCGCTCAGGGGTAAACACCACTGGCAGCTCTTCCAGAGGTCCTGAGTTCAATTCCCAGCAACCACATGGTGGCTCACAACCATCTATAATGAGATCTGGTGCCCTCTTTTAGCATGCAGGTGTACATGCAGACAGGACATTGCATATATAATAAATGAATAAATAAATCTTAAAAAAAAAAAAACTTTTCAGGATCGGCTGTGGTAGCACACACCTTTAATCCCAGCACCTGGGAGGCAAAGACAGGTAGATCTCTGAGTCTGAGGCCAGCCTGATCTACAGAGTGAGTTCCAGGATAGCAATGGCCACAGAGAGAAACCTTGTCTCTGGGAAAAAGGAGGAGGAGGAGGAAGAACATTTCAGCAGGGCACTGTGATGCACAACTTTAATTCCATCACTCCAGAGGCAGAGGCAGCAAGAGAATCACTGAGTTTGAGGCCAGCCTGGTCTACAGAGAGAGCTCCAAGACAGCCAGGGTTACACAGAAAAGCCCTGCCTTGTAAACCAAAACAAGAGAGTGTAAGAAGAAACCACACTGAAGCCATTTTGAATAAAACTTCCATTTAGAATAGGAGTCATATAACGTTTAAGTTCCCAGGACCTCTCAGGGTAACTGTGTAACTCCCCGGTTGGCAGGCTGAGGCATGAATGCTAGGCAAGTTACCCCACCACAGTTCAATAACTCAATCAGTGAGAACAGTGTACCACAAAGATGTGTTCCTAAGGAAGTCCCATATTCCCAAATCCTGATTGGTGGGATAAGTTGGCATAGATGTTTGTGGTTTGGAGCTTAAAATCTCTGTAGCAGGGCTAAAGAGATGGCTTAGGGGTGAAAGGCACTTGGTGCTCTTCCAGAGGTCCTGAGTTCAATTCCCAGCAAACACATGGTGGCTCACAACCATCTGTAATGGGTTCTTCTGTCACACAGGCATACATGCAAATAGAGCATTCATACACATAAAATAAGTAATTTTTCTTTGAGACAGGGCTTCTCTTTGTAGCGTTGGCTGTCCTTCACTCCCTTTGGCTGGCCTCCTACTCACAGAGCTCTGCCTGCCTCTGCCTCCCAGAGTGCTGCAATACAGGTGTGCACCACTGTGCCCAGCCTAATAAATAAATCTTTGAAAATAAAAAATGTCTTTAAAAAAAACAAAAACTGTAGCATTCTGACTCAGGGGTGCAGTTCAGCTACTCAGTCTGTTCTGCGGCCCTGAGTGATCAGTTGCAGCCTGAGTACAATAAAATTTGTCATCTGCCTAAATACTTACCAAGATGAACACTAGAAGGCAGTCGGCTCCCTAGGCTGTGCTGTTGTCCCTGACCAGTCAGATTTTGCTGCCTAAGTCCAATAAAGATCTTGCTTTACTGGACTCTTGTGCCTGCTTGGGTTGTTTTGGATTTCAGGACCCTAACACCAGGTGTCATAATGGCACGTGCCTTTATTCCCAGCACTCAGGAGGCAGAGGCAGGTGGCTCTCTTTCCTTCTGTGCGTTCCAGGCCAACCTGGTCTACACAGTGAGTTTCAGGACACCCAGAGCTACATAACAAGACCCTGTCTCAAAACAAAACACCACCACCACCACCACCACACACACACACACACACACAAAAAAAAAAAAAAAAAAAGAAAAGAAAGGAAGGAAGGAAGGAAGGAAGGAAGGAAGGAAGGAAGAAAGAAAGAAAGAAAGAAAGGAAGGAAGAAAGAAAGAAAGAAAGAAAAGGAAGACAAGAGCTATCTCTCTGAAGTCAAGCATGATATCTCACACCACTGTAATCCCAGCAATTGGGAGGTGAAGGACAGAGGATCAGGAGTTCAAGGTCATCCTCAGGTACACACAAGTTGAGAACCACCCTGGACTACATAAGGACCCCCCTAAACATGCACGAGAGTGTGCGTGCGCACACACACATACACAAGAATGATCTCAGAGTGTTGGAGTTTGAGATAAACTTGAAAATAGCGAGGGGTAAAAAACAATACATAAATATATAAAGAGGCTAAGTCGCTTTCTGAGTTGTTATACGGACCACTAAACTACACTACACGTTGGCCTTTACACAGACAGAAGAGGGACTTGCTTCCTGACATCTACAGTGCACACCTCTCAGCAGCCGTCTGCACCAACCCAAACCTGATTGAGCTGGCCTTGCACCGAAATGCCTTGGGCAGCCGGGGTGTGCGGCTGCTCTGTCAAGGCCTCAGACATGCCAACTGCAAGCTTCAGAACCTGAGGTGAGTCCCAGCTGCAACATGAGCGTCTCGTGGTCCCCATCACCCTCTTCCACGAGGCTCATCCAAGGAGGACATACCGGTGCCGTTGGTCTGCCACGCCTCCTGTGGCAGGGCACAGTGAGCCTCTTCCACTTTAAGGTCAACATTTTGTTTTGGTATTTCGAGACAGGGTTTCTCTGTGTAGCCTTGGCTGTCCTAGACACGCTTTGTGGACCAGGCTGGCCTGGCACTTACAGGGATCCACCTGCCTTTGCCTCCCTGAGTGCCGGGATTACAGGCGTGTGCCACCACACCTAGCTTCTTCTTTAGAGACCAAACTTTTAGTAACAGCAAAACCAAAACAGTTTCACTATATAGTTAGCTGCTCTGGAACTTTTTATAGGAGCCAGGCTGGCCTCCAACTCAAGAGATCTACCTGCCTGTGAGTCCTACCTCCTCCTGAGTGCTGGGATTAAAGATGTAACATTATGCTGGGCTTATAGCTTTAAAAAACAAAACAAAACAAAACAAAACAAAACAACTTTTTGTGTTTATTTTCAAGACAGGGTTTCTCTGTGTATCCCTGGCTGTCCTGGACTCCCTTGTAGAATCAGGCTGGCCTCAAACTCGCAGAGATGCACTTGCCTCTGCCTCCCCAAGTGCTGGGATCACAGGCAGGCACCACTGCGCCAAACTTAAAAAACAGTATTATTATTATTATTATTATTATTATTATTATTATTATTATTATTAATGTATGTGTATGTTGGCATATGAGGATGACAGACAGGTAGTAAAGCACCTGAAACTGGAGCTCCGGGCGCTTGTGAGCTGTCTGCATGGGAATTGAGCTTAGGTTGTCTGCAAGAGCAGTATGTGCTCGTAAGCACTGAGTCTTCTCTCAAGCCCTGCAGCCTTACACTGTGAAGCAAGCTCTCAGACTGAGCCTGGAGCTTCCCCATGGAATCCGCCTGTCCCTGCCTCCTGTGAGCTGGGCATAACATCTTCCACTTTTTTCTATGGTGCTGGGAATAAAACCCCAGGACTTCTCTTTCCCTACTGAGCCATCATGTAGCCCCCATTACATTTTTATGATTCAAAAAGCCCCATATTATACCACAACGACCCAAGCCTTAACAGCGATCAGCTCCTTTATTTTTCTTTGTGCTGAGGATAGAAAACCAGGACTACAAATGTGCAACTCAGACACTCTGCCACTGAGCTGAGGACTTTTTACAAAATTTATCTCAAATAAAAAAGGGGAGAAGGGCTGGAGAGATGGCTCAGAGGTTAAGAGCACTGACTACTCTTCTAAAGGTCCTGAGTTCAATTCCCAGCAACCACATGGTGGCTCACAACGATCCATAATGAGATTTGGTGTCCTCTTCTGTCATGTAGGTGTACATGCAGGCAGAACTCTGTATACATAATAAATAAATCAATCTTAAAAAAAAGGGGGGGGGAAGCTAGACAGTGGTGATGCACACATTTAATTCCATCACTCCAGAGGCAGAGGCAGCAAGAGAATTACTGAGTTTGGTCTACAGAGAGAACTCGAGGACAGCCATGGCTACACTTTTCTTGTCTCAGAAGAGAGAGAGAGAGAAAGAGAAAGGCCAACAACAAAAATAAAAGGGGTTAGAGAGAGGCACATGTAACCTTAAAAAGAGAGAAAAATGTGAGGCAGAGAATTCCAGAATGGCTACCTAGTAAGTAACTTTTTTCTGTTTTCCTTCCCATCTAAGGCTGAAGAGGTGTCAAATCTCCAGATCAGCCTGCCAGGATCTTGCAGTGGCTCTCATTGCCAACAGGAATTTAATCAGGCTGGACCTCAGTGGCAACAGCATTGGGGTGCTAGGCCTGAAGCTGCTCTGTGAGGGGCTGCGGCACCCCAGGTGTAGGCTGCAGATGATCCAGTGAGTGGGTTTGCCGTAGGCATGAGTGCTCTTCCCCTTCGGCAACTGTTCCTCCTCCTCCCTTTGCTCTTCCCCCTCCTCTTTAAATGCTATTAGTATATATTAATTGTATATATTACTAGAATTCAGAGTCCCATCCCCCGCCCTACCCCTGCTCTTTCTCTCTCAATTTATTAAGACAGAGTTTCATGTAGTCCAGGCTGGCCTTGAACTCCTCATTCTCTTACCTGTATACATGCTAGTACTGTGCCACCACACCTAGCCTTCAGAGTGGCATTTCAGTGTGTATGCCACATGCACAGATCAAATCCATCCCACCTTTTCTTAGTATGCTTAAAAGATTCATTAAAAAAAAAAAAAAAAAAAAAAAAAGTAGATAGGTTTTTTTTTTTTTTTATGATTTTGTCTGTCTTCAGTTTTGGCCTTTTGAGACAGGGTCTCACTGTGTAGCCTTTGCTGATTGGAACTTGTGTAAAGCAGGCTGGCCTCAAACTCACAGAGGCCTGTGTGCCTCTACCTCCCCAGTGCTATGATTAAAGGGGTATATCATCACATCCAGCCCCAATAGAATCTTTAAAAATTGTTTAAAGCCAGGTGTGATGGCTCCCACTTTTAATTCCTGAACTTGGAAGGCAGAGGCAGGTGCATCTCTGAGTTCCAGTTTAGCCTGATCTACATAGAGAGACCCTGTCTCAATAAACAAAACCCATCCAGCCAACCCAACCCAACCAACTACATAGGAAAGAGAAAAAACTACATAGGTTCATACTGGTGACTAAACAGGACATGATAACCTCTTCACGTCTCCCAGGCTGAGGAAGTGTCGGCTGGAGGCTGCAGCTGGCGGAGAGATGGCATCTGTTCTCAGCAACAATTCACATCTGGCAGAGCTGGACCTGACAGGAAATCCTCTGGAGGATCGGGGACTGCAGCTGTTATGTCAAGGGCTGAGGCACCCAGTCTGCAGGCTGAGGACTTTGTGGTGAGTTCTTCAGGGGCCGATTCCGAGGGCAGGTCTGTGTGCGTGCAATCAGCTGGTGGCACATTTCATCCCAGCACTCTGGAGGCTGAGGCAGGATGTTTTCAGGTTCTTGGCATCTTACTCAAGCATGAAATAAAAGGAAACTGGACAGATGGCTTGGAAGTTAAGAGCACTTGTTGCTTTTACAGAAGGACCTTGGTTCAGACCCCAGCACCCACATAGCAGTCACAACTTCTGTAATAGGCAGTCCCAGGGAATATTTGAACCTGCGTCCTCTGAGAGAGCAGGCTGTGCTCTTAACTGCTGAACCATCTCTCGAGCCCCATAAAATAATAATTTTAAAAATTAAAAAAAAAAAATTCCAGAAACATGGCCATCATGCCTGATGACCTAAATTCAATTCCCTGAACTACGGCTGAGGAAGGAGAAACCTGATCTTCACAAACATACCCCGAAAGCGCTAGCATCAAAGGCGAAGTGCTGGCGTCAAAGGCTTGAGACACATGCCAGTCTAGTTTGTTTTAGCAATAAAAGAAGTCTTACTCAAAGTATGTGTAGGGCCTGGTGGTTAAAGGTAAAGGTGTCTGTCACCAGGCCCATCGACCTGAGTTTAGTGCCTGGAGGCCGCACTGTGAAAGGAGAGAAATGATTCCTGTAGGTTGTCTGGGGGGGAGGGGCTGGAGAGATGGCTCAGTGGTCAAGAGCACTTGTTGCTGCGGCGAGTACATACGTATATCCTTAAAATATTTCAAGATTTATTATGCATACAGTGTTCTGTCTCCATGTATGCCTGCACACCAGAAGACAAAAGCAGATCCCATTATAGATGGTTGTGAGCCACCATGTGGTTACTGGGAATTGAACTCAGGATCTTTGAAAGAGCAGCCAGTGCTCTTAACCACTGAACTGTCTCTCCTACTCCCATAAAATTATTTTTGAGACAGGGTCTCACTGTTTATCTCTGATGAACCTGAAATTTGACACATAGACCAGGCTGGCCTTAAACTCATAGAGGCTCCACCTGCCTCTAACTTCTAAGTGCTGGGATTAAAGATGTGTTCACTACCACATTTGACATCACAAAATAATCTCAAGTGTAACTTTAGTGTAATTTTTTAAAAGTATAACCCAATAATATATTTGCCATCTGGAACTTTTTGTTGATTTTATGTTTTCCTTTTTGTGTGTATGTGGTATTGGGAATTGAACTCAGGACCTTGCATGTACCAGGCAAGTACCCTACTACTTAGCTGCACCCCTAGCTTCTGGTTTTTTTTAGAGAGAGCCTCACTATATACCAAGTCTATTCTCTAGTGGAGCATCCTCCTGCCTCTATTTACCAAATGCCAGTGGGTGTCACAGGTATGTGCCACACAGCTTGCTGAGAGCAAGGAACTCTAAAGATGGGGCAGAGGGTAAATTCAGCACCCCAGGAAACTCTCCCATCATGCTTACTGGGCTGGATTCTGTGCAGGCTGAAGATCTGCCACCTTGGTCAAGCTTCCTGTCAAGACCTGGCCTTGACCCTCAGCATGAACCAGAGCCTGACAGAGCTGGACCTGGGTCTGAATGACCTTGGGGATTCTGGGGTGCTTCTGCTGTGTCAGGGCCTCAGGCATCCAGACTGCAAACTCCAGACGCTCCGGTGAGTGGCATTCCCTTGGACTCTTCTCTGCCATGGAGGCCACAGTACCTCCCATTTCCTCACCAGCTCTAGCTACAGCATCTTTCAAGATTTCTTGCCACAGGGCCTTTACACAAAAACTGACGTTCCCTGAAACTGCCCTCTGCCCACTTTTTTCCAGGGAAGATAGGCCAATCCTTCAGGTCTCAGAACAAACACCACTGACCGAAGCCTACCCTCTGTTCTGATTCGCTTTCTGTGATAAACATCATGACCAAAAATGACTTTGGAAGGCAAGGGCTTATTTTGGCTTCTACCTTTGGTTTGTACAGGTGATAATTAGTTCATCATTGAGGGAAGCCAAGGCAGGAGCTTGAAGCACAACAAACAAACAAAAAACAAAAACATGGAAGAATGCTGCTTACTGGCTTGTTCCCTCTGGCTTGGTTTGCTAACTGGATCTTGTTTTTGTTTTTCCTGGTTTTTGAGAGCAGGTTTCCCTATATAGCTCTGGAACTCGCTCTGTAGACTAGGGTGGCTTCAAACTTCAAACCCTACGGATACACTGCCTTCAGTGGGCTCCTGAATCAATTAACCATCAAGAAAAGGCCTGCAGTGGCTGGAGAGAAGAGCACTTGTTGCCCTTACATAGGACCAGGGTTCACTTATCAGCACCCACATTTTGGCTCACAACCCACCATCCATAACTGACTCCAGTTCCAGGGACCTGACATCCTCTTCTAACCTCTGTGGGCACCAGGCATACACATGGATATTCATACACACTAAAGGAAAAGTAAACATTTTTAAAGATTTATTATGTATATAGTATTCTTCCTGCACATACACCTGCACTCCAGAAGAGGGCACCAGATCTCATTATAGATAGCTGTGAGCCACCATGTGGTTACTGGAAATTGAACCCTGGGACTTGTGGAAGAACAGCCAGTGCTTTTAACCTCTGAGCCAACTCTCTAGCCCAAAATGGTATGTTCTGCCAGGTGTGGTGACGCACACCTATAGTCACAGTGCTCTGAGAGGCAGAGGCAGGCAGAACTCTGTAAGTTCAAGGCTAGCCTGGACTACACAGTGAGTGCCAGGACAGCTAAGATTACACAGAGAAATCCTGTCTGGAAAAGCCAAAAAAAAAAAAAAAAAAAATTACAAAGGGTATATTCTTAGCCAGGAGTGCTGGTGTACCCCTTAAAGCCTAACACTTTGGAGGCAGAGGCAGATGGATGTTTTTGAATTCCAGGCCAGCCTGGTCTATATAGTGAGTTCCTGGATAGCCAGGGCTACATAGTGAGACCCTGTCTGTAAATTGATTAATCAATCAATCAATCAATCAAATAAATAAATAAATGCCCCTAGTTTACACAGGACTACATGATTCAGTGGGAAAAGGTGCTTTGCTGGCAGGCCTACTGATCTGAGTTCAGCTCCTGAGGGAGACATGGTAAGACAAGACCCAACTCCCACAGGCTGTCTTCTGACCTCCTTGTGGGCATTGTGGCAGGCAGCATGCGCACACATGCGCACACACGTGGGAGCGCACACACAAATGAAGAGTAAAAATAGGGGCTGGAGATTAGGCCCAGTGAGTACAGCATTGGCTGCTCTTCCAGAGGACTCGGGGTTCAATTCCCATCTCCCACAAGGCAGCTCCCACCCATCTCTGACTCAATTTCCAGGGGACCTGACACCTTCACGCAAACATGCATGCAGGCAAAACACATGAAATAACATGAAGATACACCTTCAAAAACGCTAACCATGAGTGAGTGCATGATAGCCAAGGCTACACAGAAAATAAACAAAAAAAGAAAATGATCTTTAATTTTTTTAAAAAAAGCAAGGGCTTTAAAAATGTATATATATTATGCATACAATGATCTGACTGCACAGACACCTGCATGCCTGAAGAGGGCACCAGATCTCATAGGTGGTCGTAAGCCACCATGGTTGCTGGGAATTGAACTCAGGGCCTCTGGAAGAACAGCCACTGCTCTTACCTCTGAGCCATCTCTCCAGCCCCCTGTTTTTCACAGACACATTGATTTTATTTATAGGTTATGTGCCCATATGCCACATTAATGTGTGCACCCACAGGAAAAGGGTCTCACATCCTCCATCGGGTGCTGCCTGCCCACCACTGGAGCTGAGAATCAAACTGGTGTCCTTTATTAAAAGGAACGAGTGGGGCTGGAGAGATGGCTCAGTGGTTAAGAACACCCTCTGGTCTTCCCAAAAGACCCAGGTTCAACTCCCAGCACACACATGGCAGCTCACAACTGTAATGCCAGTTCCAAGGGATCTGACACCTTCACGCTAATGCACATAAAATAAAAATTAAAAAAAAAAAAAAGTTTGAAAAAATAAAAAGGAATAAGTGCTCTTTACCCTGAACCATCTCTACAGCAACATGGAACTCTACCCCACCTTTTTTGTTTTCTCCTGACAGGGTTTCAGGTAGCTCAGGCTAACCTCCAACTTGCTCAGACTTGCACTCTGATCTCCCATGTATAATGACCACAGGCAGGCAATCACACCCCATTTATGCAATAGTGGTCCAGGCTATGCATAGGTTCAGCAGGTACTCTAACAAAGGAAAACCCCCAACTTCCTTTTAATATTTAAAAACTGCATATACAGCTTATTGCCCACAAGTATGCTTACAACCACATGCATGCCTCATGCCCAGAGGCCAGGAGAGGGCTTGAGATCCCCCAGAACTGGAGTTACAGCCAGTTGGGAGCTGCCACGTGGTGCTTATTACTGCTGAGCCATATCTCCAGCCCCTCTCTCCCAAGACAGGGTCCAGCCCTGGCTCTTCTGGAACTCACTCTGTAGCCAGACTGGCCTTGAACTCAGAGATCAGCCGGCCTCTGGCTGCTTCTCCTTGCTTATTTTTCTTGAGTTTCATCCTACCTGGGCCCTTACTTTCTGTCCTTTCTGACTTTTTCCCCCCCTCAAATGTAGACAAGTCATACTCCTGCACCCAGCACACATATTTGGTGCCTAAGGCCAGCCCCAGTGACATTACCAAAAGGCATAGGACAAGCTCAGCTTGGCCATCCTTCCCTCTAGGTTGGGCATCTGCCGGCTGGGCTCAGAGGCTTGTGCAGGGATTGCCAGCGTCCTGCAGATCAACACTTGCCTCCGAGAGCTGGACTTAAGCTTCAATGACTTGGGAGACAGGGGCTTGTGGCTCCTGGGGGAAGGAATGAGGCACCAGGCCTGCAGACTCCAGAAGTTGTGGTGAGTGTTCCCTGGGGAAGAGGGGGCAGGGATAGGGGTGGAGATGTTAATGGAGGAGACAGGGGCTGGAGAGATGACTCAGAGGTTAAGAGCACTGGCTGTTCTTCCAAAGGTCAATTCCTGGCAACCACATGGTGGCTCTATAAGATCTGGTGCCCTCTTCTGGCTTGCAGGTAGGACACTGTATACATAATAAATAAAACCTTAAAAAAAATGGAGACAACAGCTTTTCCTTGCTTCCCTTTACCTTTGGAAAAATCCATGCAGATGAAAAGACAGCCTGTGGTTTAGGAATGAGACTCAGCTCAAAAGTTCCCTGCCTAGCATGCAGGAAGGCCTGTATCTCATCTCCGGCTGGCACTGCACTAATTGGGCCTGATGGCTCCTACCTGCAATCCCAGCACTTAGGAAATGGAGGCAGGAGGACCAGAAGTTTGATCTTAAAGCCAGCCAGGACCACGTAAAATTCTGGCTTAAACAAAACAAAAAAACAAGGTGTAGCAGGCATGGTGGCACACACCTGTGATCCCAATACTCAGGGAGGCAGAGACAGAGGTATTTCTGTGAGTTCGAGGTCAGCTTGATCCACGAAGTACAGGATAGCTAAGGCTACAGAGAATACCCTGTCTGGAAAAACAAAAACAAGATAACAACCAAAATAACAAAAAAGGGCATAAGGGCCAATGAGATGGCCAAAGATGGCCCAATCTTTGGTTGCCTGGAGGTTCTCATTTTGATCCTTTCTGTCCCACGTGGTAGAGACCCCTTCATGTGTGCCTCCACACCTGGCTTATTTTTTGCATTGTTGTAGCTGGACAGCCAGCCTGACCTTACCTACAGGCCATGGGAGTTCAAGACCAGCCTGGTCTACATAATCAGTTTCAGGACAACCAAGGCTATCTAGAAAAACCTTGTCTTGAAAAACCAAGATAAAAAGAAAGAAACAAGGAGCTGGAGAGATGGCTCAGTGATAAAGATCATGGTTAAGACCCAGGTTCAACTTCCAGCGCCTACACTATAGCTCCCAAACACCTGCAACTCCAGGTCCAGGGGACCTGATGCCCCCTTCTGACCTCTATGAGCACTGCAAGCACATAGTACGAACATCCACGCAGGCCAAACATTCACATATTTAAATATAAACCTTAAAAAAAAATTATTTTAACACACACACACAAACCCCAGGTAAGACAGCTTTATTTTTCTTGTGATGTGAGGCTTAAGCCAATGACCTGTTCAGCCCTTCCCCCAGTCCATAAGTCACCTGGGATATTGAATATAATAGCAGCACTTGGAAGGTTAGAAGCCAGGGCTTCTCAGATGGCTGAGCAGATTAACAGCACGGGAGCAGCAAGCCTCAGGACTGATGCACAGGACCCCATAGCATGCAAAGAACTGACTTGAGGAAGTTACATAATAATACGTAATGATGGCAGTGATAATAACTTTGATCTCTGCTTCATAACTAGTATGAGGCCAACCTGGGCTATAAAAGATGCTACCTCAGAAACCAAATGTAACCAGGAGGCAGATATGTGTGAATTCTAAGACTAACCAGGGCTACACAGGAACACTGTCTCACACATACACAGACACATGCTGGCTGTATCAGTAAGCACATTAAAGAAACATAACTGGAGACAGAATAGCATCATTTACCCCCAACAAGAACAAATGATGCACTTTGAAGCCTCCAGGAAAAAAAAAAAAAGGCATTTATCACCTCGTATAACTAAAACGAGCTGCCTTTAGGCATAACGTGATCTGGGCACTTGATTTACATTTTTTGAGAAAGGTTTTATTTTTATCTATGTATGTGTGCATCTGGGCCTAGGAGTCCACAGAAGCCAGAAGACGACCTCAGATCTGATTGGAGCACCCGTTACGGGTTGTTGCTAACTTCTTGGTGCTGGAAACCAAACCTGGGTCCTCTAGAAGAGCAACCTCAACCACTGAGCCATCTCTCCAGTTCAGGCCCTGATCTCAGGCTGAACCGACTTCATGACAGCTCTGCTCTGTCCCCGAATTCACATTGTTTTCGACAACATTTCACTGTGTACTCACTCTGTAGACCAAACTGTCGATCCACCTGCCTTTGCTTTCCTGAGTGCTCCCAAACCCACACCTTCAACAAGCTCTAAGTGTGAAGACTCCTTGGGCAGAGGGGCCGCTGAGGGCTAGAGCCATCCCCACTTCTGAGGCCAAACTTGGCTCCCAGACTAAAAGTGAGGAACAATTAATCACGAAAGGAAACAATTGATCCTTGGCTCCAAACCACAATGGGATTCAGTCTATAATAACTCACATTATGACTTGTACTGTTTTTCTGTTTTAAGAACACGGTAGCTAAAAGCAATTTATAAAAAAAGGGTTTATTTTGGCTTATGGTAAAAAAAAAAAGAAAGATAGAAAAGATAGTGACTTGATGTGGAAAGCATGGTGACAGGAGGGAAAGGCGGGAGCTGGAAACAACCCCAAAGCAGCCTTGAACTTAACAGACCCAACTGTCTCTGACCAAGTGCTGGGACTAAAGGCCCAAGAGCTACAAATGCTCTTCAGTGTTGAGCCACCTCTAACCCTCTACACTGTTTGTGTCACCCTGGAGCTAGCTGGATCCCTGCATGAGCAGGGCAGGCAGTCTGTTTGCTCAGGGCTACATCCCTAAGGGATATGTCAGGCAACCGCTGGATGGGCACATGACGGAGTCCTTTACACCTGGTCCCTTAGAACATCAGCCCTATTCCCTGAAAAGCATGCCTCATTCACCCGCCAAGTGTCCTTTGCAGGCTGGACAGCTGTGGCCTCACCTCCAAAGCATGTGAGGACCTGTCTTCTATCCTGGGAATCAACCAGACCCTGAGTGAGCTCTACTTGACCAATAACGCTCTGGGAGACAGCGGAGTTGGACTGCTGTGCAGGAGGCTGAGGCATCCAGGCTGCAAACTTCGAGTCCTGTGGTGAGAGATGAGCCTCCATTTCTTGGAGAGGGGATGCAGGAATGCTGGTCTCAGATTTCAGGGGTAGAGATGCTAAATAACTGAGATGCATAAAAAGCTGGATAAGCGAGGCTCAGGGGTGCGTGCCTTTAGTAACAGCACTGGGAAAAGGCAGGCAGATTTCTGTAAGTTCAAAGCCAGCCAGTGAGTCCAGAACAGCCAGAGCTACTGAGAAACCCTGTCTCAAAAGTCAAAACAAACTAGCGCTGGAGAGATAGCTCAGCAGCTAAAAGCACTTGTTATAGAAGACATGAGTTTAGTTTCAAGCACCCATGTAAGGTGGCTCAAAACCACCTGTAACTGTAGCTCTTGGGGACTCAATTCCCATCTCTTACCTTCATCATACCGCCACCTCACACATAGAGACACACACATACGTAAATAAAAATAAAAGGGCAAGTGAAAGGCAGAGCTGTTTCACTCCTGGACTCTGATGTAATACACGTGAGACCAGTACTTATGCACATGCTAGCTGGGAATTATGATGTACTGGGTAGTCCCCAAACTCTCCGTCCTTCTGTCTCAGCCGCCTGAATGCTGTAATTGTAAGCAGGTGCAGAATACCTTACTTGCTACTCTTTCAGATGAGGCCAGTCTCAACCAGAATCTGAAGTTCTAAGTCTGTTACTTACCCATGTTTTCACACCAGAGTAGCTGCACGTATAAATGAGAATACAGGTTGCATACTTAAAACTGGGAGTAAGGAGCTGGCTGCTGAGAGAGCCTGTTTCCAACAGGCAAACAAAAAAATTGAGAGTAAGGGGGTACATGCCTGTAATCCCAGCACAGAGGCAGAGGCAGGCATATCTCTGAGTTCAAGCCCAGCCTGATCTACAAAGTGAGTCCAGCACAGCCAAGGCTACACAGAGAAACCCTGTCTCAAAATATATATATGTATGTATACATGTATGTATACATGTATATACATATATATATTCAGTATATATGTATACATGTATATACATATATATATTCAGTATATATATGTATACATACATACGAGAGCTGGAGATGGCTCAAAGGTTAAGAGCACTGGCTGTTCTTCCAAAGGTCCTGAGTTCAATTCCCAGCAACCAATGGTGGCTCATAACCATCTGTAATGAGATCTGGTAATCTCTTTTGGCCTGCAGGCACACACGCAGGCAGAATAAAGACTAAAAAAAATTATACCTGGAACTGAATCCTGGCCCTGTGCAAGAACAGAAAGTACTCAAGCCCCAACGAGTAAGATACTTGAAAAGGAGCAGGAAGTTTTCTTTACCATGTTAAAATTCAGCACATCAGGATGTCTTGTTAAATTATCATAGTGACAGTCCCATGCTCTGTCCCCAGGCTGTTTGGAATGGACCTGAACAGAACAACCCACGGGAGACTGGCAGCACTTCGAGTCACAAAACCGTACCTGGATATTGGGTGCTGAGCACTAGTTTGCAATCAGAATGGACCCGAACAGGACCTTTATTCCCTCGGACGGCTATGAGAATACTTGAGAACTTTTTAAGATGAGCCTTAAAAAGTGGTGAGGTTGGAACTGGAGAGATAACTCAGCAGTTAAGAGCTCTTCCAAAGGACCAGGGTTCAATTCACAGCAACCACATGGCAGCTTACTGTCTGTAATCCCAGTTCCAGAGGTTCTGACACCCTCGCATTCCATAGGTTCTGACATACATGCATTGTAAAATTAAGTTTCAAATAAAAACAGATGAGTGGATAATGATCACACATTCAAGGTCATCCTCAGAAACCAGCTAGAACTGCTAGTCTTGAGTCAGGAGGCCCAGAAAGTATAGGCTGACAAAAATGTTGAGACCTAAACACTCAATCTTCGATGAAGATCTTCGGGTTTGATGCAGACCCGTACAGACAGTTAACATGGAAATTGGCTTGTTAGCAAGAGGTTTGAAGAGCAGTAATATAGAACACGGGGGTACGGGGGCAGCGAGTAGTGGGAGGGGATTGGACACACATGGCATTCCAGATTTCAAAACATCTTGGGACATTTGGATAGTTCAGTGGGGCAAAACTGCCACCTACTGGCCAACATCCAGAACTACAGTCCAATTAAAATAAATGGGAGAGAGCCACATTTATGCACAAGCTAGTTTTCCAGAGTCAATTTAGTAACCCTTGCAACTATATAGAGGCCATTCTCATTGCCTGGGTATATCCAGCAATGGGATCTAGATATATCCATCTAGAAAACTTTGCAAACTCCATTGCTTCTTGACTGATACATTTGTACAGTGGACTGAACAGGAGCTGCCCTCAGAAGCACAAAGGGTTCCCAGGAGACACAACCTGAGACTGAGCTGGAGATGGAGCTGCAGTTGGAAGATTGGCTACTAGCATGCATTCTGGCCTTAGGAACCATAGATTGCATACCTGGTAGAGGGAGGCTAGCAAACAGCCAACATCCAGATGGAAAACTAGTAAGTTAAGCTGGGCCGTGGTGGCACAAAGTTCTAATTGCAGCATTCAGGGGGCAGGAGTTTCTCTGCAGCCTAGGCTGTCCTGGACTTGCTTTGTACTTGATCTGCCTGCCTCTGCCTCCCAAGGGCTGGGATTAAGGCGAGTGCTACCACAGCCAGCCGGTGAGTGCTGTCCTGGAGGGTTCTCTGTGTGTATTACGGTTCTGGTAAAATTGACTCTTATCTTTAATAATTTCCCTGTCTTGTGAGTTTCCTATTCTGTCAAGTCTTTCACCGTTTGTCACTCAGTCACACTTTTAAAACATGAGTGCTTCCCTCAAGCAACTAACTTAAAGATGTATGACCACTCCTAGGACTAAGCTTTTCTTTACCTGAAACTTGCTCTGGCATTGAACTGGGATCTGCTTGCCTGTCTTCCGAATTAAAGATTATGTAGCACAGACCTAGGTCTCTGGATGTGAGCTCTTGAAAGAACAGCCACAAACTGTGCCACAAAACAATTTACCATGGCTGTGCATGGTGACTTTTATGCTTTAGCTCAGGAGAATCAAAGACCACCCAGAGATATAGTGAAAGCCTCGTCAAAACTGGGTTTGAACCACACAACCCACAGGACAGCTTCCTGGCAAGTATGATGCATCTGGCATCCAGACAGGATAACTCACTAAAATAAAAAAGCTTATGTGGTGAAACCTGCAAAGAAGCCTTCCACCAAGCCAAGAGGCTGCACCAGAGTAGCACAGGCTTTACTCAAGGTGGCAGGATCAGGGCAGCCTGACAAAATTTACAAACCCTACTCTAAACCCTTGGCCTGGTGGCATGTGCCTTAATCCCCAGTTGAGGGAGGAGTCTGCTCTGCATAGAAACTTCTGGAAAGCCAGGACTGTTTTATTTCCAGCTAGGTGTATTTGTAAACCCCTCTCCCAAAGCTTTGGAGGCAGAGGCAAGCAAACCTGGTCTAGAGTCCTAGCGCTCACCTGCTCCGCCAAAAGTCTACTAGGTAACAGAATGCCATCCTGCAAAAACCACTTGATACCCAGCATATACTGCAAAGCAACCTGGTTGGTGTTCAGAGACCCTGAACACAACTCTAGCATTCACAGCTCTGGATCCCACCCTTTACAACTAAAAATGGGAAGTGTGAAGCACACTAGGCCTTTGCCTGTAAGGAACAAGAATGTAGGGTTACCTGGGGCACCTGCAGTTTTCCTGGCTCCCACTGGGGTTATGGCCATTACCATGCAGTTAGTTGCAGTTTCTCAGAAGCTATTTCTGCAATTAAAAACCAACTCAGGGGCAGCAAAGACCTTATAAACTGAGCCCTTCACCAACAGTACCTGGGCGCAGTTCCCGAACCCATATGGCAGCATTCATGTGTCTGGACAAATCACCAATGCACTTAATGGAGGCTGGATTCCACAGGGATCCCCAAGTCAACCCCGATATTAAACAAAATGGAAGGCAGCAAAATCAAGAGAATTAAGACTTTATTGACATTTGACTCTAGGAGCTGGGGAGATGGCTCAGTGATTAAGAGCACTGGTTCCTCTTCCATGGAAACTTGGTTGATTTAATTCGTAACACCTATGTGGCAGCTCACAACTCGCAGGTCCAGAGGATGAAGCAGGCACTTACTCGGCAGGATAAACCCACAGTTGAATCTAGATATGTATTTTGTCTGTCCTGCCTGGGTCCTACGCCAATCACATGCAGCTAGAACAGGGCTATTTTGGCTACCTTAGCCTGTCTGAAACAAAGAGGACCAGAGGGGAGTCATAATAGGGTGTTTGCTTACCATTTGAAAGTTAGTCCATCTTAGAGATTGCTCAGGCAAGTGGCTATATGCTGATCCACGGAACTCATGGGTCCTCCTGCCAAAAGGAGACTATGCACACAGTAGCAAACTTGAGCCTATTAGGATCACCTAGAGACCAATTGCCTATGAAACTGCTGGGGTGTGCTTAGTTTGATCTAAAACCAAGCCAAGCCTGCTGTTCCCATGGTAGCACGAACCTGCATTGCATTTAAGTTCAAAAAATGTATGCAGTACTCAGGTATAGGCTGGCTGGATCTGTGAATCAATCTCCCAGGAGACACCCGAATGGAGTAGCACTTTCTACTTGTAATCCAGAAGTGTGCTCCCACATTTGAGTCTCACCAAGAGGAGCAGTTCCCAGGTTGACTGGAGTTCCAGGATGCCTTCACCACACAGCAACACACAAAATGGAAGCACTTTCCCACTTAGAAGCTTGGAGAGGGCCTCCATTTTGAGCACGGCTACATGGAACTTTCTCAAGATCCAAGCGCCTGTAACAAAGCACTAAGCGGGACTAAGACTACTTAATGGGGAAAAAGTGAGTTAGCTAGCTTGATGTGCCAATGATGAAGCATCACCGTAGCAGCTCCACCAACCCAGCCTCACTTCCTATTAGAGGCATTAGTTTTTGCCTGCCCTCATGCTAGTAGCACCTGGTGGAGGGGAGGTGGAACTTACCAAGATAGCCAAGCTACCTAGAAAGCCTGACTCACAAAAGGCTCAGTCAGTAGCTTCCCCACCTCAAGATGCTCCATGCTGTCAAGGCCCTATGTACCCACAGACAACACCCAAATGATGCAACACTTTCCAATTTCAGTGATCAGAAGAGTGCTCCTACATTTGAGTGCCTCCAGGTGGGCAGCCACACTTTTCCAACCGCACCTTCCCAATCGGTAACACTCAAGACTGGGCGGCACTTCTTTAAAGAAGCAAAGTGTCCCCACAGTTTGAGTACCACAGGTTGAGGCAGCTGTGCTAAATTAACTTTGTTAGAAAGTTATTCATAACTTAGCTAGGCATGCAGAGGTTGGAGGTAAGCCCACATTCAGGCCAGGCAAAACTCACTGGAGTTGTTCCTTGTTGACCTGAAAGAGAATAGTGAAGATTGTGTCCAGGCATTAGTGTTAATCCCAGATGGAGGAAGAGGATTAGAGCCTGGAACACTGAGCAATTAAACAATTGGCCAGGCATGGTGGCACATGCCTATAATTCCAGGACTGTGAAGGCAGAGAGCCAAGCAGATCCCGGTTCCTGAGGCCAGCCTATCCAAGGATAGAGAAAGTCCCCAAACAAACAAAAAACCCCAAAAATTTGGGGGCTGGGTGGTGGAAGAGGCATGCAAGGCTGAGGGTAGCCTACTCTACAAACTGAGGCTATATAAAGACCCTGTCTCAAAAAACCCATAATCCCAGCTCTCAGGGAGGCAAAGGCAGGCAAATCTGAGTTCCATGCCAGCCAAGGCTAGATAGAATAGCAGATTAAAAAGAAATGTATGGGGGGGGGGGGTTGGTCTTACCTGATTGCCTGGAGCTCGTGCTTGGCTCTTGGAACCCAGAAGAGGGCATCCTTCACATCCCCTCCAACTTGGGTCCTGGGGCTGAGACTGGGGCTGAGCTGTTGGTGATGCTGCCTCGCTTTCAACCCAGAACCCCCCACCGGCCTCCTGTAACCCACCCTCTTCCAGTGGAAAGGAACGCACCTCTGGCCCACAGGCAGGTAAGGAACTCCAGGTTACAGTCCAGATGTTGTGCACATACAGAGACAGACAAAGTGGAGGCTCCCTCCTGCTGAGCCCCAGAGAGGGCCAACACTTTGATCACCCCTGTGTGTTCCAACCCCAACCTGAGCTCAGCCACCGCCTGTGCCAGATCCAGGTGTCCCGGCTCAGATCCTGATGCCCACCTGGGTGGCACCCACTTGCCCAAAACAATCCCACTCTTACAAGAACCTAGTTTTGCAGCTGTGAACTGAATTTTCTCAACTGGTAACACTCAAAACCTGGCGGCACTTTTCTTAAAAAGACAAAGCAAAAGGGACCCCAGTTTGAGTACCACAGGTTGGAGGTACAAGGGTTTTAGCAAACACACTAACACTATTGGGTGTCCACATCTAGTGTAGAGACCTGTCTACCATCCCCGTACGGCTGCGGTGAGCCTTCTCTTCTGTTTTCATGAGAAAATGCCTTAGTTCCAGATCACTCGGGCCGGGATGAGGCTTGCCTATGGGAAACCCCCCTTAGGGTGGAGACAGGGGAGGTTCCCCATGGAGACTAAGGCTAGAAAAGGAGAAAAATCTAAAACCGAGGTCGTTGACCTCCCACACGACCACCAACGCCCAGCTCCACGTAGCTGCCATTGCTCACTTTTGGCAGGCGTTGGTCAGACGCAGATCCGATGCCCCACACACTGGCACCAAGTGGAAGCACTTTCTAGTTGGGGCTCAGAGAGGGCTTCCACTCCGATGACCACTGTGTTGGGTAGTCAGGAGTAGCTTTAGTCCCCGGGCAGTGTGCGAAGGTGCGCCCACCCCTCGTGTTCCCAATTCCAACTCCCAGGACTCGGCTAGCAACCCAAACACGTGGTACAGGGGCCGGAGGGAAGAGTGGCCCAAGCCAGATAGCCGCTTTCTCAACCGGCAGTGCTCAAAACCTGGCGGCACTTTCTTTTAACGAACAAAGTGCCCCCACAGTTTGAGTACCTCAGGTTGAGATGGTCCAGAAGCCGTCACAAACTATGATCCAGTATTCCAGTCGGCAGAAAACCTTCACCTTATGAAGATCAGGATGGGGTTAGTATCCAGGTCCAAGTTTTACCTAAATGAAAGAAGGCCTTGTTGAAAATTCAGTACCTGCATCATTCTACGAAAGGCACGGCATTTACAGATAATGCTTTGGACCCTCCTCCAAACGACTTCCCAGCCTTGGTCAGTGGACTTCATGTCCCTCCTGAGAGGATAGTCCAAAATTTCTACCTCTAGACTATACACAAGCCCACCCCCTCCTGCTTGTGTCTACCTCCTGCGCTGGGACTAAACTTGAAGTCCAGCTGAAATGAGGTCAGAAGGTGACCTTATTTTTTTTTTTTTAGCTAATCCTCAATTTGAAGTCGAGGAAAGCCGGGCGCGGTGTTGTGCGCGCCTCCAATCCCAGCGCTCAGGGAGGCAGAGGCAGGCGGGTCGCTACGGCGCAATCAGACCTGGTCTGCAAAGTGAGTCCGGCACAGCCAAGGCTACAGAGAAACCCTGTCTCAAATATAAAAAGCAGAAAACAAAAAGGCAAAAAACGTAGACCAAGCAGGCTTCAGTGGCTTTCCGAGGCAGAAACTTGTTGCTGAGCTGGCCACGTATTCACCTTCAATCGGAGGCCGAAGGTACCTGACAAATAAAGACGGGAACACAAACACATACGCCTTTCCTTCTGGGGAGAAGGCCCAGAAACCGGCGGCGAGCTGCTCTCACAGACCCAGGTGTGGACTAGAAGCCGCTGCAGGAGGGTAGGCGCTAGGTTTTTATAGAGTCTGAGGGCTCATTGGTCCCCTGGACAGGGAGGCTCTGGCACCCCTCCCCCACCCAGGCCGCATCCTTACTCAACCCACCCTGCTTCCTCCCAGCGGAG